TCGACAAAATGGGGTTGCTGAAAGAAAAATGTCACCTTTTGGAAACTACTCGGTTCCTCTTAATCAGATGAATGTCCTCAAACCCTTTTGGGGTGATGTTGTACTCACATCTTGGTTTCTTATTAACCGCATGCCCATGTCTATCTTTGAAGGTTAGTCCCCTTTCTCTGTTTTGTTTCCCACGTTGTCTCTTTTTCCCCTTACTCCCAGAGTTTTTGGATGTATGTGTTTCGTTCATAATCTTGCGCCTGGATCGAACATGTTAGATCCTAGATCCACTAAGTGTGTCTTTATTAGCTATTCCAGGACTCAAAAAGGGTATAATTCTTCTCCCAGAGTTTTTAAGTATGTTCCTTTCTTCTCCAGGTCGGATAATTCTTCTCCTCTATTGCCATCACCCCCTCTTCCAGTTCCTATTGAGGATCCCATTCCTCTTGTTCAGGTCGTCACCTCGTCTTTGCCTCCAGTGCAGCTACCTGAGAGAGGACCACCTATCCGTCAAGTGTATACACATCGTTAGGTATCGGATCCTCCCCTAGCTTCGTCACCATCGACAAATCTGGTAGTTGATCCCACCCCAGCCCCAACTCCAAGTTCTGACCTTGATCTTCCTATTGCTTTGCGGAAAGGTTAACGCAATTGCATTTTGCATCCCATTTCCAATTATGTTTCTATATCTCACATTTCGACTTCCTATTGACAGTTTGTTTCTATGTTATCCTCTGTCTCTGTTCCTAAGGATGTCTAGGCAACTCTCAATTCTCCAGGTTGGTGCAAAGCAATGGAAGAAGAACTCTCGGCCCTGACTCATACTCATACGTGGGACCTCACTACTCTTCCTCCTAGTAAGCATGTGGTCGGCTGTAAGTGGGTGTACACGGTTAAATACTTACCTGATGGAAGTGTTGAATGGTTGAAAACTCGGTTAGTTGCCAAAGGCTATTCATAGCAGTATGATATTGATTACACAAACACCTTATCTCCGGTTGCCAAAATTGGGTCAGTTCGTGTTCTGATTTCTCTTGCTGCTATGTTTGATTGGCCCTTGTTTCAACTTGACATCAATAATGCCTTTTTACATGGTGATCTTTTTTAGGAGGTGGACATGGAGCAACCACCAGGGTTTGTTGCTCAGAGGGAGGGTCAGAAGGTCTGTAGATTTAAGAAGGCTATTTATGGACTTAAACAATCTCCCCAAGCATGGTTTGGGAGATTTAGTGAGGTTGTAAAGAAGTTTGGAATGAAAGTGTTAGGTTGGCCATTCCGTATTCAGCTATGAATCAAATGCTGGGAATATTCTCTTGGTGGTACATGTAGATGACATTGTTATCACAGGTAGTGACAGACCAGGAATTGACAGGTTAAAGACTTATTTGCATGATCACTCCAGACAAAGGTTCTTGGAAAATTAAGATACTTATAAGGATAGAGTTTGCAAGGTCCAAGAATGGTATTAATCTGTGCCAGAGGAAACATGTTATTGATTTGCTAGAGGAAACAGGGTTGTTGGGTGCCAGACCAGCTAAAACACCTATGGAACTGAATGCTAGATTGGCTAGTGATACAGGTGAGGAGTTTTAAGATCTGGGGAGTTACAAAAGGCTGGTGGGTAAGCTTAATTACCTAACCATCACTCGACCTTATATCTCATTTGCGGTCTGTGTAGTGAGTCAATTTATGTAGAATCCGAGAATCCCACACTAGGAGGCAGATATAAGGATTGTGAGGTATTTGAAGGGTGTTCTAGGTCATGGTTTGTTGTATAAGAGTGAAGGAAGTCTTGAGATAGAGGGATACGCAAATGCTGATTGGGTCGGGTCCATATCTGAGAGAAGGTCCACTACAAGGTATTGCATTTTTCTTGGTGGGAACATAGTGACATGAAAGAGTAAGAAGCAGACAGTGGTAGCAAGAAACAATGCAGAGGCTGAATATAGGGCTATGGCTCATACAACATGCGAATTGGTGTGGTTGAAGCATCTATTAGAGGATATGGGATACTAGATTGACATTTCTATGAAGCTATACTGTGATAACCAAGCTGTAGCTCATATCTCCTCTAATCTAGTGTTTCACGAAATGACGAAGCACATAGAAGTGGATTGCCACTTTGTACGTGAGAAGGTGCTTAGTGGAGTGAGAAGTACAGCATATGTGAACATAGGAAATCAATTGACAGATCTGTTTACCAAAGGGTTGAATCGGGGAAGAGTGGACTACATATGTAACAAGCTGGGACTATATGGCATATACTCACCAGTTTGAGGGGGAGTGTTAGAGTCGGTTGTACAAGGGTAGTACAATCCTTTTATGTTTAATTATATATGTATTGCTCTGCTGATGTGGCTTTCACTTAAGTGTGGGTACAATGGTAATCCTTGTATATCTTAGAAGAGTATAAATAAAAGAAGGGCTGATTAGAGGTTTAGAGATTTACTCGCTAGTTCGGCTGTGACTTTTCTCCTTTTTTTTCTTCTCTTTCTCCTTCTCCTTCTCTCTCTCTTTTCCTTCTCTTTCTTCTGATCTAAACATATAAGAACATCTAATCTGAGTTTTATCAAGCTCTTTAGGGTTAGTCTCAATGTTCCCATCTCTTTTCAAGTGTTGAGTAATGTTGTATGTTCAAGTATTATTCGACATATAAGCGTTACGGTTCAAAGAGATTTGCAAGGAAAAGAAATATGAAAGAAGGTTGTGTGTGGCTCGAGGGTTCAATTAGTATTTAGTATAAAGAAGTCTATAATCAAAGGAAAAGTCAATGTTTTGTTCAAGCTACTCGTATGCTAATAAGTATAAGTTTGGAAGAAAAGCAATTGATTTAAAGTTATTCTAAAGCAATCATACTAGGACCTTGTGTGTAACTCAACGAGATGAAAAGATTAATGGGGCATAAATTTTTTTCTCCCACACCTTAGGAGATGAAATATCATCATCAATATCTAACCATGAACTCCGAGCCTTGATGGTTTTGGAATCCATCAATATCTAACCATGAACTTTGACTTTTACTGCACTATAGACCCTGAGTTTCAAGAGCCAACCCACTCAATATCTAACTCTCTGAGTTGTGCCCAGCACCACAGACCATGCTCCACGGTTCCTCTTGAAACTCTGAGTTTCCAGAGCCAACCTTCTCAATATCTAACCCTCTAAGTTGTGCCCAGCACCACTGTCCCGAATAGGGATGGCTCCTATTTTTGTTTTGAATTACTCTGAGTTTTACTGCACTTTTATTGCACTCATCACCCTGACACTCTCTCACTTTCTCTCAGTCTCAGTCTCAGTCTCTCCCTCTCTCTCTACCTCTGTGAGGTCTGAAGACCCTAAACTGCACTTCTCTCAGTCTTCTCTGTTTGTCCGTCGACTCCATCCTTCCTCGGCCAATTGGCCTTGACGAGATTACTGAATGGTCGAAAGACCACAAAAGACAAACATAAAAACAGAAGAAGCAACTTCTTCTAGTTTGAAATAATATTTTGTATGAGTGCAGGTGCAGGTGCAGGCTCTTGATATGATACGAGGTAAAAGTACTTCGATTCACATTTAGAGGGAAACCTTTCAACAGAAGAAGCAACAGAAGTCACGAAGGAAAAGTACCAATGAGAGCTGTTTTCAAAACAAAAATTGGTTTGCTCTGTGCTAGGGTGGTCGGCGGTTCTACAGTGGCGGCGACGCCCGGTGGTCGCAGACGAATGAGACTTCTTACTTAGTTTCTCAGTCTGCAAAAACGATGGTCGCTTGCAGACTGAGCTGCAACTCTGTGCACTGTGCTATGGTGATCGGCGGTTCTACGGTGGCGGCGACGCCCGGCGGTTGTGTTGTGCGACACTGCGACTGCGAACTGCGGTTCTAGTAATCTGGTTCTACCTCTGCAAGGGAAGAAGTTGAACAATGAACAACTCTTGACTGAACGTATTACTCTTACCCTAATAATTTAATACACTGTATATAAGGGGTATAATTGTAAATTACAACCGGGGTCGGGGCGGGTTCGGGGATTTATAGGCAGACTCCATCTCCGCCCTATCCCCGGTCTGGGGCAAGAAAATCCCCGAACCCGACCCTCATGCATTTGCTACCGGGGAAAATCCGCCCCGTTCGGGTCGGGGCGGGCTGGGACCTGGCTTTTGAGTAAAATTGCCACCCTTAAGAATGAAAGCAGAGGAAAAAGCGAAAAGGCCAAAACGCCAAGGAATATCTGATAGAACTGCAGACGCAACATTGTCAAAAGGTAATCCAATCAGTTTATTCTAGACTGTTGTAGATTCTCTCCGGTTACTTCGAAGAGAGAAGATCGTAGAAACCGGCGACGTGGAAGTTCCATTTCATGACATTCGAAAGACCTAAAAGCTTCGGAGTTCGGAGAGCTGGCGCCGGGATCGGAGCTAACGTGTAATATCTGATAGAATCGCAGAAGCAAGATTGTCAAAAGCCGATGATCCAATCAGCCTACAGAGTTGGTCTGACAAGTCTCATGAAAGAGTAAAAGCTGTTTCCGGATTGGAGCTGACGTGGCTATCTTATTCCAATTGTCATTCGGTGAGCACTGACTCCTTGAGCAATAATTGTGCGTTAAACACTTAAACCGTTTACAGACTCCAACGGTTCTATACTTCTATTTTACGGTTTTTTCTCATCGGAAAAAGCCGATTATATAATTATTATTAAAAAAAGTTATTATTATTAGATTTTAGAAGTAGTACGTTGGAATCGACAGCTTATCAGGATAAGACGCAAGCGACAAAAAATTGAAACGTAAAGAATAAAAGGCGCCCTTTCATTTTGGGGCGGGCAATCTAACAGCAGGTCGCATTTGAAGGACAAGATTTCACAGTCGGATTCAAATCTATGAACCATCTCTACTCCTGTACTCCACCTTGTTCGTCCGCATATTCCATCAGATACCAATTCAGCGGTGAAATCTTTGCTCTTACGTAAGCGACTGTTTATCAAATCACAGCCCTTCAAATTTTCCAAATTTCTATTTCAGCACGCATGTGACTTCCCTGTCATTTTTCCCGTACTCTATCGTCTTCGCCTGGTAAGGCGGAGGCAGCACACACTCACACAAACGTGACAGAAGCATCGTCCGGGGTTCCCCCGATGCTGCCGCCGCTATGAACCTGAGACAGCGCCCGGCGGTCCCTCGCGGTGGTCCGGGGTATGGCTCCGTCTACGGCCCCAACCACGGCCTCGACGGCTCGGCCCCATTTCCCACCCCCGTCTCATCTGAATCCTTCAACATCATTCCGGTTCACAGTCACCTTGCGGTTGCGGATCACCACTCTCTTCGTTGCCCTGAAGTCCGCGCCGTCGCTGGTGCCCTCCGCAACGTCGGAGACCTTCGCATGCCCCCGTTCGTTCCATGGCGCGAGGGCATGGACCTCCTTGACTGGCTAGGCGTCTCTTTTGGCTTCCAACGCGACAACGTTCGCAATCAGAGGGAACACCTTGTGCTTTACATTGCCAACGCCCAGATGCGCCTCCATCCCCCTCCTGTCGACGTCGACGTCCTCGACCTCAACGTCCTACGCCGATTCCGTCGCAAGCTGCTGCACAACTACACATCTTGGTGCTCTTACCTCGGCCGCAAATCCAGCGTCTTGCTACGCAGTCGCCGTGATGACTCCCGCCGCGAACTCCTGTACACTTCTCTTTACCTCCTTGTATGGGGCGAGGCTGCTAATCTCCGCTTCGTCCCTGAATGTATCTGCTACATTTTCCACCACATGGCGAAGGAGCTTAACGCGATCCTCGACGACTATGTAGACGGACCTCCTACCCCTTTCACCTGTGGCGAGAATGGGTTCTTGATCCATGTCGTTACTCCTATTTACCGGATAATTAGTGCTGAGGTTGATAGAAGCCGTAACGGCACCGCCCCTCATTCGGCTTGGAGAAATTACGACGATATTAACGAATATTTCTGGAGCCACCGCTGCTTCCGCCGACTCGGGTGGCCACTCAATCTTAACAGCAAGTTCTTTCAAACTAAGGGTAAGGACAAGGGCGTGGGTAAGACGGGTTTTGTTGAACAGAGGTCTTTCTGGAATATATTTCGCAGCTTTGATCGGCTCTGGGTTATGCATATATTATTTCTCCAGGCCGCCATTATTGTTGCTTGGGAGGGCACGGAGTTTCCGTGGACGTCACTGGAGAGTCGTGATGTTCAGGTTCGGCTGTTCACTGTATTCATTACCTGGGGATGTCTTCGTTTCCTCCAGTCAGTGCTTGATGCCGGGACTCAGTACAGTTTGGTCACAAGGGAAACATGGTTAGTCGGGGTGAGAATGGTACTGAAGAGCATTGTTGCCATAGTATGGACTGTTGTTTTTGGTGTCTTCTATGGAAGGATTTGGTCCCAGAGGAATCACGACGGAAGGTGGTCTGATGAGGCAAACCGTAGACTGGTGGCTTTCCTCGAGGCTGCGCTCGTTTTCATATTCCCGGAGCTTTTGGCTTTAGCTCTTTTTATTGTACCTTGGATTCGGAACTTCCTTGAGGAAACAAATTTCATCTTGTTCTATATTTTAACTTGGTGGTTTCAGAGTAGGACCTTCGTAGGCCGTGGCCTTAGGGAAGGTCTCGTGGAGAATATAAGGTATACTTCGTTTTGGGTTGCCGTTCTTGCTTCAAAGTTCACCTTCAGTTATTTCCTCCAGATAAAGCCCATGGTTGCTCCGACGAAAGCTGTTTTGAATCTCAGGAATGTGTCTTACAATTGGCATGAATTCTTTGGTAACACTAACAGAGTAGCAGTATTCTTTTTGTGGCTTCCAGTGGTTTTGATTTACCTCATGGATTTGCAGATCTGGTACTCAATTTTTACCTCCATTGTTGGGGCAATAGTTGGGTTGTTCTCCCACCTGGGTGAGATTCGGAACATGGAGCAACTGAGGCTGAGGTTCCAGTTCTTTGCAAGTGCAATACAGTTTAATCTCATGCCGAAGGAGCAACTTCTGAATGCAAGGGGGACATTGCTGGGAAGGTTGCATGATGCCATTCACCTGTTGAAACTGCGGTATGGGCTGGGCCGGCCATTTATGAAGATTGAATCGAACCAAGTGGAGGGGAAGAAGTTTGCCCTACTGTGGAATGAAATAATTAAAACTTTCAGGGAAGAAGACATTATTAGTGATCGTGAAGTGGAGCTCTTGGAACTGACACCAAACATGTGGAACATTAGGGTCATTCGCTGGCCATGTTTTCTTCTGTGCAATGAGCTGCTTCTTGCTCTCAGCCATGCAGCAGAGTTGGTGGATGCACCTGACCAATGGCTCTGGTATAAGATTGGCAAGAATGAATACAGGCGATGTGCTATTGTAGAAGCTTATGATAGCATCAAATATATGCTCATTCAGATTGTCAAACATGGCACTGAAGAGCATTCCATTGTTAGGCATGTGTTCCTGGAAATTGATAGTGCACTTAACATTGGGAACTTCACTAAGACGTATAAAACAACTGCATTGCCACAGTTACATGCCAAATTGGTAACCCTTGTTGAGCTCCTTACCAAGCCCAATAAAGATGTAAATAAGGCAGTGAATGTATTGCAGGCCTTGTATGAAATATACATTCGAGATTTCCCCAAGGTGAAGAGGACCATGGAACAGCTGAGGGAGGACGGCTTGATGCCTCTCAAACCTGTTACCAGCAGAGAATTGCTTTTTGAGAATGCTGTTCAGTTGCCTGACATTGCAGATGTATCTTTCTATCGGCAGGTGCAGCGTTTGCAGACAATTCTTACATCTAGGGACTCGATGCATAACATCCCAAGGAATTTTGAGGCAAGACGCCGTCTAGCCTTCTTTAGCAACTCGTTGTTCATGAACATGCCCCATGCTCCTCCAGTTGAGAAAATGATGGCTTTTAGTGTTTTGACACCTTATTACAATGAGGAAGTCCTGTACAGCAAAGAACAATTGCGGACGGAAAATGAAGATGGAATTTCTACCCTGTTTTATTTACAAAAGATCTATGAAGATGATTGGGGGAATTTCATAGAGCGAATGCGCCGACAGGGGATGGTGGGTGATGAAGAGATCTGGACGAAGAAGCTGAGAGACCTCCGTCTTTGGGCATCCTACAGAGGCCAGACGCTATCTCGTACTGTAAGGGGAATGATGTATTACTATAAGGCTCTCAAGATGCTGGCATTCCTTGATTCTGCATCCGAGATGGAGATCAGGGAAGGAGCACAAAAGCTTGCTTCTGTTGGTTCCGTGGGGCTAGATGGCATTTTGAATGGTCACAGCTCAGGTATCCAAGAGTCTTCATGGAGTCTGAGTGGGGCGAATAGTGATGCAAGTATTTTGTTCAAAGGCCATGAATATGGTAGTGCCCTGATGAAATATACATATGTAGTCGCCTGCCAGATTTATGGGACACAAAAGGCAAAGAAAGATCCTCGAGCTGAAGATATTTTATATCTAATGAAATGTAATGAAGCTCTTCGAGTTGCCTATGTTGATGAGGTTCACAAAGGGAGGAATGAGGTTGAGTATTACTCTGTTCTTGTGAAGTATGATCAGCAGTTGCAGAAAGAGGTGGAAATCTACCGGGTTAGGTTGCCTGGTCCCTTAAAGCTTGGAGAGGGTAAACCAGAGAATCAGAACCATGCTATTATCTTTACCCGTGGTGATGCTGTTCAGACCATTGACATGAACCAGGACAACTTTTTTGAGGAAGCCCTTAAGATGCGGAATCTATTGGAGGAATATAATACCTATTATGGTATCCGGAAGCCTACTATTTTAGGAGTCCGTGAACACATTTTCACTGGTTCTGTGTCCTCTCTTGCTTGGTTCATGTCTGCACAGGAGACAAGCTTTGTTACCTTGGGACAGCGTGTTCTTGCAAACCCTCTCAAGGTACGAATGCATTATGGCCATCCTGATGTGTTTGATAGGTTATGGTTTCTGACTCGAGGTGGCATTAGTAAGGCTTCCAGAGTAATCAACATCAGTGAAGACATATATGCTGGATTTAATTGCACATTACGAGGTGGCAATGTGACACACCATGAGTACATCCAGGTTGGTAAGGGAAGGGATGTTGGATTGAATCAGATATCAATGTTTGAGGCTAAGGTTGCTAGTGGCAATGGTGAGCAGGTTCTGAGTAGGGATGTATACCGGTTGGGTCATCGACTGGATTTCTTCAGGATGTTGTCGTTCTACTACTCTACTGTGGGGTTCTTTTTTAACACAATGACGGTGATCTTGACTGTTTTTGCATTTCTCTGGGGTCGCCTTTATCTGGCTTTGAGTGGGTTAGAGAAGGCCATGAAGAATAATTCAAACAATAACAAAGCACTTGGTGCAATCCTGAATCAGCAATTTATCATCCAGCTTGGTCTATTTACTGCTCTCCCAATGATTGTGGAAAACTCTCTCGAGCATGGGTTCCTTCCTGCAGTATGGGATTTCTTGACAATGCAGTTCCAGCTTGCATCTGTTTTTTACACGTTCTCTATGGGAACTCGTACACATTTTTTTGGCCGGACAATTCTTCATGGTGGTGCAAAGTACCGAGCCACTGGGCGTGGTTTTGTTGTGCAGCATAAGAGTTTTGCTGAGAATTATAGACTGTATGCCCGTAGTCACTTTGTAAAGGCAATTGAGCTTGGAGTGATACTTACTGTTTATGCTTCACATAGTGTTGTTGCCAAGGACACCTTTGTTTATATTGCCATGAGCATCTCAAGTTGGTTCTTGGTAGTATCATGGTTCATGGCCCCCTTTGTGTTCAACCCTTCTGGATTTGATTGGTTGAAGACTGTGTATGACTTTGAAGATTTTATGAACTGGATATGGTATCGGGGAGAGATTTTCACTAAAGCCGAACAGAGCTGGGAGACTTGGTGGTATGAAGAACAGGATCATCTGAGAACTACTGGTCTTTGGGGAAAATTATTGGAGATAATTTTAGATCTCCGTTTTTTCTTTTTCCAGTATGGGATTGTGTACCAGCTTGGCATCTCTGCTGGAAACACTGCTATTTCTGTTTACTTGCTATCTTGGATCGGTATAGTTGCAGGTGTTGGAACTTATATGATAATAGCATATGCTCAGGACAAATATGCTGCAAAGGAGCATATATACTATCGGTTGGTCCAGCTCCTTGTCATTACAGTTACAGTGCTTGTGATAATTGTCTTTCTGGAATTCACCCATTTCCAGTTTTTTGATATCATCGCGTGTTTGATGGCATTTATCCCAACTGGGTGGGGATTAATATCCATAGCACAGGTACTCAGGCCATTTCTGCAGTCCACTGTGGTCTGGGACACCGTGGTTTCTCTAGCCCGTCTGTATGATATGCTTTTTGGTGTAATTGTTATGGCCCCTATGGCACTACTAGCATGGCTTCCTGGCTTCCAGTCCATGCAGACAAGGATCCTCTTCAATCAAGCATTCAGCAGGGGTCTCCAGATATCTCGCATTCTAACAGGCAAAAGATCTAATGTTGATTTGTGATATGAGGTAAGTTTTCATTTTCATCTTTCTGGAGTCTTGATTTCTGAAGCTATAGATTAGTTTTCACTTATTTCTATATATTTTTTTTTGCTTACTTGATTGCAGTAGTAAATTGGGGTCTAGCTGCGTCATTTGTTTCGTTTATTTAATAGCGTATATGTTGGGACGAAGCCTGTTAGCGCATGGCTGTGGCAAGGAGCAATATCCATGTGAGGTATTACCTTATTCTTGGTTTCTTGTTGCTGTTTAGAATGTCAACTCTGACAGTCTTTTCATTTGAGCTAATGGCTTATATGAAATTTGTGTTTAAAACCTCTGCTGGAAGTGGTTGTAGTTATATGCTTGAACTGTTCTCTTTGCGTGTAGTGTTTTAATTGCTTTTTTCCTCTGCAAAGTTAGTTTGATTTCTATTTTGTTATTAGTAATCAAAGAAAATCCATCAAGACGGAATACAGAGCAGGAGATAGTAAACAGGAAGCATATGGACTTTGTGGCCCAATCACTGTCAAAAAAGTTTTCCTCACCTCACCAAAGTGCCTAACTCAGTCAGAAACAAAAACTCCCTTCTCCATAATCCACACTCATCTAAATACCCATGTGCCTAACCTCATTGTGGTATCAGTCCCTCCCTTGAACTTTTCATTAAATGAAATATCTCTCATGTTATCACCCCCTTCTACACCCCAAAACATCACTTACCTCTCCACTCTACCCCATATAAGATTTTAAAGAAATATTCCTGAAAGCAAAATGCATATTTCTCTCAAAAAGGAATAAAAACACCCTCCAATTTATCAATAAGTCAACAGTTCTCTCTTCTTGTGCACCAATTGAATTTATGCATGAAGCAAAACACCACTCCTAATCCCCAAAGTATCAACACTAAATGGTGCATTCTCCAGTTTTCAGTACCACAACTTGAATCTTTGCAAGGAACAACAGAATACTTTAATGGGTACAGAATCCTTCGGTCATTGCTGTTGGAGGATAGCCAAAGACCGAACCATGTAAATTTGTGTGTGCTTGCTTCTAAGTTCTAACATATCTGTTTTTTGCTTTGTTTCACTGTGCCATTTGAATATGTATTTCTGGGTTTTGTGCAATGCCACATGAATATAATTGTAGATCTGAAGGCCTGTAGGCTTGAATGATTTGCTCCTAGTCTTTTTTGTTTTTTTTAAGAAACTTAATTGGATCCACTATAACCTAGTCAATAAATATAGATCCCAACTTGGTATTACTTAGACAAATTTAGTAAATACATTCATAAGTCATTATTTAAATGATATAGAAATTCAATTATCAACCCGTAAAAAGAATTGGTCAATAGGGACTTATCAGACCTCAATGGTTTTAAAGAGCTTGAATACAAAATGTTTTACTAGATTGACAACAACTCATCATTGTACTTTCTATGTCCTAATTTCTACATGTCAAATAAAATATTCTCTTGGAACAAAGAAGACAATCTCCCTTGTGATTTAGTTGAAAATCAATATCTCATGTAATGGATTCTTAGATCTAAGTGGTAGTCTACACTTACCAATCTCAAATAGATTAAAGCCCATATGTAACCAACCAGAGTAGATCATTTCATGATCTAAGAGAATAAAACTAGAAAAATCCTTAGGGCCAAGAAGCCATTGAATCCTATCACCAAGGCACCAAATTAATACCAAACAAGAGAAGGTTTAGGGTTTCACATTTTAGGGCTTGGGTGTGGGGATTTTGTATTTATGGCTTAGGATTTGGTGTTTTAGGGTTTGGTTGTTGGATTTAGGGTTTAGTATTTTCGAATTTTTGGTACGTGTGCAACTTGGGTGGGTTGGTTTGGGTTGAAGGTTAACTAACCTAGGGCTAACTCTAAACTCTAAAGGTGCAAACCTTAGGCTTGAGCCTAGCCCAACCCGAGTTTAAGTGGAAGTTTCTCGACCTAGGCTCAACCTGAGCTTAACCCAACTTGAGTTGGGTTGGGCCAGGCTTGGGCGGGTTTGAATGAATTTATGTATATATATTTTTACATAGTCATCTTTTATTGGGCTTTATGACCCAATTTAATAGTAGAATTGATTGCAAATGTGTTCAAATTCCATTTACAAATGTGCTGTGAATAAACCCTAGTTGATTCTAGGTCAAAGTAGAGAAGAAGAAAGAAGAAAGAAAAGAGAAAGAAGAAGAAGGAGAGAAGAAGAGTGTTCGGTCAAACTAGAAGAGAGAATGTGAAAAATCACTCTCCTAGCCGACCCACTTGAATTTTATTCATAAAACTTAGAGTTACAAGAAAGACGATTTTGTCCCTCATAGAAGATGGGATACACAACTTAAACTCAAATACAATAGACCTTTCACTTTCAAGAAGATACACTAGAATGACCAAAATACCCCTGACTTGAGCAATCTAACATGTACAAACACATATTCTGGTCCAAAAACAAGGCAAATATATGCTTTAATGCTTTATATAGTATAGATATTTAGATATAGTACATATATGACCTATCAAAAAAGATATGCTACGCCAAAAAAAAGATATGATACATATATGTATGTACTTATTTAGGCAAGTTGGGTTGGGTTGGGCCAAGCTTGGCCACATTCCAAGCCCAACCCAAGTTAAAGTTAGGCTTGACTTTTCCAACCCATGTCCATCCCACAACTTGAAAACTTAGGCCCAATCTGTGCAAAAGCATGGGTTAGGCCCACTCAAGTTCCACCCCTAGTTTTTGTGTCTAAGGTAAGTATCTAAGGTTTTGGGTTTAGGTGGTTTTCGACAGGGTTTAAAATGTCGATGTTGATGGAAATGTTGCTTACCCAAATATAGGACATATGTCGGTAATGTCGGATGGAAATATTGAATATTGTGAAATATGTGGAAATATGCAATGATATCCTGTAAAATGATAAAAGAAACGTTAATACACTTTTCTAGACTATTATCTTGCATGTATAAATATTA